AATATTTTGCCCAGATATATACCAACACAGTATAATTTGATAGGTTCTTGTTAAAGGTGATGTCGTCGTTGATTCTTCATTATAAGATCCTCTGTTCGAAGACTGGTTGGACTCGCACCTCTAATCGTTCCTATCCTAAGTCAATATTCGCTTTTCCCTAAAACCTAGAACATTCTACATCCCCAACTATTTGTGAACAGTAACCTGATGTAGGTCTGTCTCCACTCTTCTTAACTCCTATTTTGTTAGTATTAGAAAGCTAAGGAGAATCAATGGAAGGTTCTCCTCAACTAATTAAAAGGTAATACCTGGGGAGATGCCTACTAAATATTTAAGAAACAACTTATTTAAAACTAAAAATGAATACGGTGGTGAGCCAATGTAAGAAACTGCTTCCTGCAGTTGTCGATGGAACAAAAATTGGATCTTAGATCTTGGCGGCTGTCAGAAAATATAAGAAACAGAGAGCACCAATTGCGGACGGAGTGACGGCAGGGTGAAAGGAAGTCACTGTCGTTCTAATACCGAAAGAGAGAAAGAGGGGGCAGTTCCGCTCTATTTGTCTCCTAAATATTAGCCCTATTTGCCTCCTGATACAACTAACAAATTATATGAAAGTACATTCAATAATATTGTAATGTTCGTGGGTTTAACAAAATTCTAAGAGTGATAACGACAAAAATTATTTATTTACACTGATTATTAAAAAACTTAAAAACACTATTAAATTATTACTAAACTTAAGTTATGAATTATTCTATTTATTTACACTACTGTTGATATATCACTATTCACTGCGCTATTTATTTCACTGCTATCACTGTCAATGTATTTCTGGATTCACTTCTGCAACGTTCAATTTATTTCTATTTCTTTTGGCGATCGTCTCTTCCTTTAATACTCTTTTGTTTACTTTCGGGAACCTTCTGGAAAACGTCTGGATAGTTTATTTTTTTTTTACTGTTTAACGGCATTCCTAGAACGCAGGTACGACACACACATTTACAAATACGGCGCACATGATGAAAGGTGCCCGCGGCTAGTCGGCGAATCGATAGCCGTTCACACACACGTGTGCGCGATCGCACACAAACACACTCGTACTCGCTACAACATACTCATCGATTACCTTGAGCATAAGGGAAAGATAGCTGAACACTAATGTAGAATCAAGGGGGGCGCTCGGCGGTGAACGTCCTGGTAACACTCGGGACGAATTGAAAAGCGTTTCATACCGTCATCGCCAGCTGGCTGCAGTGAACAACGCGTTAAACTGTGCCAACTGGAACGCCATAGTACGTAGTGTGAAGAATATGGATGTCCCGACGAACCTCATTAGAGCTGTCCAGGGATTTCACGAAGACAGGAAGATCTTCGTAGTCACGGACAAGTTCCTCAGGGGTCGCTCCTGGGCTCGTCTTTATGGAACGTTCTGCACGATAGGAAGCTTCCACGGAAGACGCCTGGCAGCAGAATTGTCGAAAATGTAGCAAGAATATTAATGAAATAAAGAAGAATACGAAATGTAGTTGGTAGACGAGTAGATGATTGAGCGAGGACTGCAGTGGGCGGTAGAAAAATGAAGTAGTTACGGGTTAAATACTCTGACGAAGTCTAGGCGAGTGCAGAAGTAGTGAGATACCTGGGAGTGACGGTGAATATAGCCAAACATTGTCTAATAGTGGCTAACAAAGCTAATATCCAGGCCCAAATATTATAGAAGCTCATTCCTATGGAAAGGGGACCTAGTTTGGCAAACAAAAGGATTTTAGCGGAGATCGTTCACTCAATTATTCTCTACGAAGCCTTCGTGTGACAACCCAAACTGAAGGCAATATAGTACTGGAATGTACTACTGTATTGCCAACGCAATCAGGCACTGAATTTTACAGTATGTTATAGGACATTGAGCACGGAGGCGGCAATGGTCGTGACTGGTCTGATGCCTGTTAATCACCTGACTCGGACGAGGAGAAAGAGGGTACTACCATTGGCGTAACGGAAAATACGTGAAATAGATGGAAGAAAGGTGCAAAAGATCCAGTAAAGGAAGATGACTTAATAAAGTCTCCCTACAGGAGGAGAGATCTGATGAAAGGAAATATGAATTATTGTGTCATCCAATTGCTGACTAGTCATCTACCTCCGCAGATTTAATATCGTGAATTGTCACAGAGGGGTAGACACACCACAGCACCTCTTCAAATGCCCGAGATGGTGGGGGGAGGAACATGCGAAAATGACGGAGGCAATGGGCATAAGTATAACAGCAGAGAATTTTTGAATCCTGGTAAATAGAAATTAATTGGGGAAGATGTCAGAGTATTTGACGAACATAATGACAGTTGAAGTTAATGAAGGAAGTGTTGCACAGTCACTATAGGGCGGGTAGGTACAATCCGAGGATGAGGACAAGACCACTGCAAATATACATTTTAGAATTAACATTTCCGCCGTTTCGAAGCCGACGAAATTCTCCTGAAAATACTTGGGCCTGCTTTAGCAATTCAACACAACTCAAAAACCCAAATAAAACTGAATTCTAAATTTAAAATTCAAAATTAAGAGTATAATTAAATGTCTAAGAATGCGGATAAGTATATCTTCGGTCAGATTGTCAAAAACTACATTTGCTACATGAGTAACTGAATATTAGCCATACTGTGAATATAATAATAAGGGGAATATATGTTTACATAAGTATATTTTTAAAAATGTTTATATTTTGTCACCATGACTTTAGTTGCCTTACGCTTACGATTAGTTTTTTTAATAAGCTCTATAAAGAATAAAGTAATAAGCAGCAAAATCTAATATCGGATACAATACGTAAGAGTTCTCTGCACGATGAGCGATCGCGTATCAATTACGACATTATTGTCAGCCATTGTCAAACAAACAACCTAAACAAAATTTGGCCTGAGCGTCAAATTGAATACGAACTGCCGAGCACAACTTGGTAACGCTTTTACAGCTTGCAGTACATTAATCGTGCCTATAATTTAATATGCATCACGTTCAAGTGCTAATAAATGATGATATAACGTCTAACATATTAACGTAAACGGTAACCACCAAAAATACCCGAAACCAGCTCGTTTGATCTTCGCAATTACGACAGCACTGACTGCATTGCATTCTGCCGAAATATTTATTTATATCAGCATGTAAAATGAATTAACTAGTCATGCAATGAGTTGAATTTACATTCAATTTGTTAAGCAGGTATTTGTTTGGAAGAAAACGTAGGGAAAGAGTGAATGTAAAGATAGGAGGCAAAATATTAGAAAAGGTGGCTGATTTTAGGTGTCTAGGAAGTCAGATAAATGAGAACGGAAGGAGTNAAAAGAACTTTCTTCCAAAATATTTACAATCCACTCCGAAATTCATTTTTCTATTTGAAGTTATTAGCCTGTCAGGAAAGTTTTTATAGTATCATCTATTGACGGTATAATAGAACTGAGAAAACCACTGGGGTACACTACTCTCTTTACAAATTCATACTCCCACCACCAGACTATTACTCCGATGCGCATGCGCAATAACGTACGATATTTTTGATGCTAATACGATAATTTTTCCTAAAGAGTGCAATAATTCTATCTACTGAACCTGGCAACGCTGACCAAGAAGAATGCCGAGTTGGAAGTGTCAGTCGCTCTAAAGCGGGGGGGTTTTTAGTGGGTATGTCACGCTAGGCGATGAATCCTACACTATCGCTCGTCCCTGTGCGGCCGCTGTGCATGAAACATTTTCCCCTCGAGTCATCAAGAAAAGATGCTCTTGTTTCTGCTTCTAATATATCTCTAACAAGCTTTTCATGCCTTAAGTAGCTGGTATATTTTTAAATAGTATTTATACCTATGTCAGGAACAAGTTGTATAAAAGGATTAAAAATTTCGTTTTGAAGTAAATTAAAAGTAGACCTCCGAACATTTAATATATAAGTAAATTTGTTTGTGAAGTTAAGTATTTGAAATTTGTGTTAATTATGAACCAGTTTATTTATTTAAATTATCAAAGGAAATCCTTTAGCCGTTATAGAAGGTTGCCAATATAGACAACATCGGAAGAATAATCATTATCATAAGGTCGTTTGTCCTAAGAAAGGTTGCACGCACCTCCACTCTTTCCTATTCTGAGCTAATCTTCGCATTTCCCTAAAACTAGAACAAACCACATCCTTAATTATTTGCGAACAGTAATCTAATCTAAATCTACCTCTACCCCTCCTGACTCCCACTTCTGCTTCTAATATGTCCCTGACTAGACCTTCACGCCTGAGAATGTGTCCTACTAACCTATCTCGTCTATTTTTTATTGACTTCCATGGAGTCCTCTGTTCTCCTAATCTTTCTAATAACTCTTCATTTCTAACCTTCTCTATTGACGGTATCCACATCATTCGTCTGTAACATCACATTTCGAACGGTTCTAAGAATAAAGAATGTATATTACCCATATATCTTATGTACTCAATGGCTTGTACGCAAATGGCACTATTTGCCACGTATTCATTTTACCTGCTACCATCCTGTCAGCAAGTAGAACATCACCTTCCACGTAAATAGGACGTCCACACTTAGGAATGATTGCCTTTTGCATTTTTGCTCCGGGAGGAGTATTGATTTAAAATATTCATAATTTTACATGTAAATGGACAATTATAACACAACGAAAAAAACATTCAAATTGTTGCTTTTTTTTTTAGCATTATTAAAACATGTTAAATCAGCATAATTTTCATCAATTTGTCTGTTTATGTGCCACGATATTAGCATGGATGGCTGAATTTGGTCTTATTTGTGGGCATTCATCGTTTAGGGAAAGTTCAAATGATTGCCTTTTACATTTTTGCTCCAGATGGTGGGTAATCGATTTAAAAATTTCAAAATATTTATAATTTTACACGTAAAAAAATTTAAATCAGCTGATTTTTTTTTGAGCATTATGGGAATATTTAAAATTAACGTAATTTTCGTTGAAATCAAAAAACAAAATATTCGTTTCTTTTTTTAATCATATTGCACATGTAGACACAACAATACAATAACAATCATTTCTCAGTCTGTTTATTACAATTTTTTTACTAATGTTCTAGGTACTTTTAAAATACTACTTTTAGCTCAATTGAAAAAAAAGTTGTTAACAAAAATAAACAATAATTATTAATTTTGTTTGATATATTTGTTATTGTAATAGAACTTATACTGCTGTTTATTTAAAAGGGGTATAACGTTCTTTATTTTCCTTTTCTGAAGATAAGAATAAATAGTAAATTGTCGGTTAAGTATCAGGAACCATCTTATTTTGTGTACTTAACCTAGAATAGATATAATTGTTTATTATTTATTCTAATTAACTAATATTTGGCAACAATTCTACAAATAATTAATTAGTTTTGACTTTAATTGATTGTCCAATAATTTTTCTTCCGACAAACTTAACAATCCTATATGTAATCCAAAGGATGGCTGTGATGACAGCCAACAAGAAGGCGATGACGTCCAGCAGGAGGTACTTGTACAATGGCATGCCAACAGCTGCAGTACGCATATGGTGAGCTCCACCATGTCGAGCAACATACTCAACCCAGTAGATGGCTGTTTCGAGAGGTGGTAATGGTCTATCTTTGAAACGGGCTGATAACTGTTTCGCCTTTTGCTGAAAACTGAAAAATACAAATAATATTAGTATTGCAAATATTACTTGGGTCGTTTAATTGAATTTATGGTAAATGTCTAGATGGTGGCGGTGAGTTCGAAAGAGGAGGTCTCCCCCACCACTGTACCATAAAAAGTTCGTGGCGGTCTCAGCCCCATAAAAAAATACGGTGGTTAGATTGGGGTGGGGGTAGGGAGGATCGAAAGAGGGTAGGGGGGATCGAAAGGGCGTGGTCACTTGAGTAAAACCCCATAAAAAAATTGCGGCGGTCTCACCCCCATAAAAGTTATGGGGGTTGAAATTTGATTATTTTGAGAATTTTCATACACTATAATTCAAATAAAATCCAATAAAAAAAAATATTTTCAAGCGGGTGGAGGTGGGGGATCTAAAGACGGTGGTCACTTGAACAAAACCCGATAACCTAACCTAACCTAACCTACCCTATTGATAAAGATATTTAAATAATGTTTTATATTAATTTCTCAATATTTTTATGTATTTTTCCATTAAATTAAATATTTACATGCCTAGAAATGTATAAAATTTGGCATATTTATTAACTTTGAACCCCCATAACTTTTTATGGGGGTGAAACAGCCACGAACTTTTTATGGTACAGTGGTGGGGGAGACCTCCTCCTTCGATTCCCCATCCACACCCCCGAAGGGGGTGAGGGCCATCATCTAAACCTTTACCGAATTTATCTCATGCAAAATGAAATAAATATAAATAAACGCATGAAGGATAAATATTCCATGATTGAATAATGTCGATGAGTTGCATCTAATACAAATTACTGCTGTGATCTGGGCTCGTTTCGGTTTTGTTATGTGAGTGTGATTATTCAATTAATGGAAATTTCTGAAAAAGTCATTTGGTAGGAACTTTGCATGAATGTGTAAATTGGGGATTATTTCGAAATTTCAAACTCGAATACGCATTGCTTTATATTTTATCGATCCATTTTTCGCTATAAATGAATCGCTTTATAGCGTGAACATACGAGGAACTTCCCGGAAAAATGTCGAACTTATACATAAAGCCTTATACTAATGAATAATTGCGGTCTGTCATTATTCTTCGTAAAAAATTAGCTTGTGAAAAATAACTTTCCGATATCTGGAGATACTTTCAGGTATATAATCCCGAAAAAGTAGTCCTTCCACCACTTTACATTAAACTTGGTTTGATCAAACATTTTGTAAAGGCATTTCGACTTGACCAACGGTGATTATTTCATGTTTAGATATCGAGGTCATGTTCTATATAGGTTTTAAGCATATAGAAAAATCGTAAGGACACAAAAAATTACTTTTTAAGAAAAACGTCAATTCAAAAATCACGTTTTCTTTGCTTATTTTAGATCTTTCCATGCTTTGATATTGTCGGAGGTATTTTTAACCAATACCATCATAAAGAGCATCGTTAAAAACATAGAAACACTAGTTATCGAATATTTTTTCGTCACACTCATTATGTGCAAGGGTTCAAATGGAAATGTGTTCTCTGAGCATTTATGGGTTAATGTGACGTGGTATATACCATATGAATATCGTTTTCTATTACTTTTAAGACAATTACGACAAATATTAACAATTTAAGAAAAAAACTTTTCAAAAAAAAAAATTCGCAGACCTGTGTAATTAATATAGAACTCCAGGTGACAGTTATTTTGGCATGCAACAATAAATGAACATCTTTACTGCTGAATTTTTTTTGTATTAGTTTCTTGGTACACGTTAATAAGTGGTTTTCGATTTCTTTATTTTGATTTTAATTTTGCCAGGGACAGTTCACAATTTTACGGGTGATAAAACAGGACAGATTATGAACCCTGCAGATGCTTTCACAATTGGACGAGTTGACATTGATAGATTATAAACTATCGAGAAGTATTAGGTGAAATTGTAAATTTTTTATCATTTTATGATATCCTGAGAATGATTATAGACTAACTATGCTCATAATTGTACGGTGACATATGTAAGTAATTTGGTTTACCGTATTTGTAAACTGTTTTCCGTGACCGAAAAAGTACACATTAGTTATCATCAGCCACTGATTATATCGTTTATATATATAACTTTGAAGGCATTAATTTCAAATAAGTATAACATGGGATTACTTCCAAATATACAGAAGCCATTATAACGTCGAAAATAATACCTTACTTAATAGATAGTGGCATCGTGATAGCATTATTTGTTTTCAAAGTCGTATGTACACTATTGGTAAATATTTTTATATTTGCTATTCAACGGGGATACATGGAAAACGTAATAAAAGGAGCATGTGTGTAAAGCATAATAAGAAACTAAATACTATAGCAAGTAAGTGCCCTAGAGTGAAGAGTGATTTATCTGAGAATAACATGTTTTTACTTTTTTTTAGAAGACACCAAAGGCAACCCAAATCGTCTCCGTATATGTGAAAGAAGTTTTGATGATTTGGAGTTTTGACTATTTTGTCCAATATTTCTACTTAAATCTCTCTATTTAAAGGGAAACTTTCGTGAATGATAGAAATACATGTAACGGAGGAAGAAATTATTTTTAAATTGATCTTCTGTGGATATTCATTGGTAATAGAAATTTCTCCACTGGATAAAATCATTTTCATTTTTAAATATTTAAAACGACCAGGGATTAATTGTTACCGTTCTGTTTACTTGTTTAGGGTTTTGCTATTTTCTGAAGTATTGAAGAGTATAACGATTTCTGATTTTTTTCCTTAGGTCAAAATTTAAACGTGTTTTATCAGACTAAGAAAAGAGACACGCATTCATCTCTTTCTTTAGGAATTTAAATTATCTATAGGTCAACACAAATAGAAAGAAGTGTGAATTGTTTCCGCCTATAAATGCGCGGTAAACTGAATGTTTGTGGAACCGAGCGGCATGGCCTAGAGGTTTAGACCATTGCTTAGCATTCGGGAGGACGCCGGATCGATTCCGGGTCCGTCTGCCTTGGTCCAAGTTTTACTGTGGTTTCCTTGGATCACTAAGGTAAATGTTGGGGCAGTAATATTCCACAGATAATCTTTCATTCTCTTGTGTCTTCATTTCGTCCGTCTCAACTTTCTCACCAGAACCACCACCCACCCATTCCCATGATTCCTGAAAGCAGGCTGAAGAGGGCCTTCCGCCCTACCTTCCGGCGTAGTCCGGAGGGCCTGCTCGCCCACCAGCATTACTGGCTGGTGGGAATGAAACACCCAAAAGTTTCTTTTTTTTAATGTTTGTGGAAGCAAAGGTGTCACTTTTATTCGACCGTTTGGCGAAGTAACATTCAGACCTACTACAATTACCTACTCCTATTCTTGTTATTTGTGTGTTTTTATCCTTTTTTATACTGTTATTGGTTTTACTGTTGTTACTTCGGTTTGCTCTCTTGAATCCACATGTGCTTTTCTCTTGTTTTCATTACAATGATTTTCTTATTTGTACTAAATTATTTCAATGCAGCCAACAATTTCGTTAGCAATGCCTGTGGGTTCCTTTTCCATGTTTAGAGGAGACGTGCGAAAAATCTTTCTTATTCTATTGTCTTTCCTCCGAATACTTTATTTGTATTTCTTCCGCCCACAAACGTTGCTAACAGAAACTTCCTCCTATTCTTGTCAAGCTGTACAGAATCTACAGAATGGTGGTGATGACAAATTGCGTACCCATAAAAGACCTCGCACACCCTACCTGATTATTATTCCGATTAATCGATTATTCTTAAAAATGGGATAATGTGCCGTATTGCAATACGCGTAGAACTGTGAATGTGTATGAAATTTCGCATAGCATATAAATGTTCACGATTAGTCCATTATTAATTGATATTTTCAGTTTTTAAAAATAATCATAATAATCGATTAATCGAAATAAGTGATTAATTGGAATAAGTGATTATTAAATTTAATGGCAGATAGTGGCATAAACTATCACCACCCCTGTCTCGTGTCAGGACGTCAAGAGGATCTTTTACTCCTATCTTATATGCCCACCTTATATATATACATGTGGAAGGCAATTTTCAAAATTCAAAATTAAGAGTATAATTAAATGTCTAAGAATGCGGATAAGTATATCTTCGGTCAGATTGTCAAAAACTACATTTGCTACATGAGTAACTGAATATTAGCCATACTGTGAATATAATAATAAGGGGAATATATGTTTACATAAGTATATTTTTAAAAATGTTTATATTTTGTCACCATGACTTTAGTTGCCTTACGCTTACGATTAGTTTTTTTAATAAGCTCTATAAAGAATAAAGTAATAAGCAGCAAAATCTAATATCGGATACAATACGTAAGAGTTCTCTGCACGATGAGCGATCGCGTATCAATTACGACATTATTGTCAGCCATTGTCAAACAAACAACCTAAACAAAATTTGGCCTGAGCGTCAAATTGAATACGAACTGCCGAGCACAACTTGGTAACGCTTTTACAGCTTGCAGTACATTAATCGTGCCTATAATTTAATATGCATCACGTTCAAGTGCTAATAAATGATGATATAACGTCTAACATATTAACGTAAACGGTAACCACCAAAAATACCCGAAACCAGCTCGTTTGATCTTCGCAATTACGACAGCACTGACTGCATTGCATTCTGCCGAAATATTTATTTATATCAGCATGTAAAATGAATTAACTAGTCATGCAATGAGTTGAATTTACATTCAATTTGTTAAGCAGGTATTTGTTTGGAAGAAAACGTAGGGAAAGAGTGAATGTAAAGATAGGAGGCAAAATATTAGAAAAGGTGGCTGATTTTAGGTGTCTAGGAAGTCAGATAAATGAGAACGGAAGGAGTAGAAGGGATATAAAGCAGAGGATAGTGCAGGGTCGAGTCGTCTTCAATAAAAAGAAGTCACTTCTATGCTCGCGAACGCTTACTTTTGAAATTCGAAAAACGTTGTTGAAGGTGTACGTTTGGAGCGCGGTACTGTACAGGTACGCAACATGCATGGTGGGCGCGGCGAAAAAAATAAGACTAGAAGCGTTCGAAATGTGGTGTTACAGGCGAATGGTGAGAATACCATGAATAGAGAAGGTTAGAAATGAAGGAGTATTTGAAAGGAGAGGACGCTATGGAAGTCAATAAAAAATAGGCGAGATAGGTTGGTAGGATACCTTCTCAGGCATGAAGGTCTAGTCAGAGGCAGAAACAGGAGTTAAGAGGAATAGAGGTAGATTTAGATTAGATTACTGTTCGCAAATAGTTCAGGATGTGGGTTGTTCTAGTTATAGGGAAATGGGAAGATTAGTTCAGGATAAGAAAGAGTAGAAATGCGTGTCCCACCAGTCTTACAACTGACAATCTAATGATGATGATGATGATGATGATTTGTTTGGATCTACCTGGGTTCAAGAAGTTGTTTTAATTTATTGTACAGAGTCTCCTCGTCGTCCCGCCAAAAGTCAAAAATTAGTCCACCTCCACTTGCTTCAAGAGCTTTTGCATTGGTAAACTGGTCTCCGAATTGTGGCATTACAAGAGCTGGAACTCCACATTGAACTGTTTCCGTTGTTCCTAACATTCCTCCGTGGGAAATGAATGCTTTAACGTTAGGATGACCTGTAACAAAAGCACGAAATTAGAGTCACTTTCATGATTGAATGATAAAAGCCTTTTTATTTTTCTTAATTCTTTAATACCTTGAAGGTTGTACATTAATTCTTAAAAGTGAATTGTAGTATTTGAATGGGGTTCTTGTTGTGTCGTAGAGATAAACACTGAACGGTCTATCTGTTTGTCTTTTGTAGACGGTATTACATTGACAGCATTTTGTGATGTTTTATTCAAAATAAATTCTCAATGATGAAGAAATGAAAAATTTGCTGTTTAGTTTTTGAAATAGGTAGGGGAGGCCGGGGTTAGTTGAGTATAGGGGTTAGTTGACTAATTTCAAATAGTTCCTCTATTATTTGATAAATGGCAGACGGGGCAGGATATCCATGCATCGACGCGTTAGACCTCTTAGTGCACGAAACGCCATAGATGTATTTCACATAGTGTTCTTATGAGAAGAATTAATATTAAATTATCGGTGGTAAGCATTTTAATTCTGTTTATTTATTTTATACTGTAAATACACTAGTATTTTTGTAAAAGTATTGCTTTTTAGCTTTAATTGTCTATGTTTATTTCTAATACTAAGCATTAACTGTGGATTTACGAACTCTGCGAATTCAAAATGGCTGGACGGGGTTTCTTGACCTAACTCCATCGGGGTTAAATGACTTATTAGTCAACTAACCCCAAGTGTATTACTCAACTTATTTCGACATTTAAACAACAACAATCTAGACGGAAAAGCTGTTTTACATACCTGTAGTTCTTATTAAAAATCAATTAAGCTTCATTCTGCCTATTTGTTTTAGGTAAGAACATGCGAACGTACAAACGAAAATCAGATAAAGGCAAAACCCCTGCTAATATTATGAATCAAGCTGTTTCCATCGTATTAAATGAAGAAAGAAGTGTTAACAGTGTCGCTAAAGATTTTAAAATTCCACAAAAAACTTCATCGTTATGTTGTAAAAGCAAAATTACAAAAAGAAAATGATGGCAAGGTTGTCCTGGGACATGTTGGTTATTTTAATGGTCGACAAGTTTTCTCCAACGAACACGAAATTTTACTGTCTGAATACTTGAAGCAAGCATCTGATATCTATTTTGGTTTGACACCAAAACAGCTTCGGAAGTTTGCATTTCAATATGCCATTGCTAATAACCTACGAATTCCTTCTAGCTGGACAGAAAATAAAATGGCGGGACCGGATTGGTATACACAGTTCATTAAAAGAAACAAAAGTCTATTCTTAAGATCTCCAGAGGCCACAAGCCTGGCAAGAGCTACCGCTTTTAATAAAACTAATGTCCAGATGTTTTTTTCTAATTTGACTACTACCGTCTACAAGCGGCAGATATATGGAACGTCGATGAGACTGGTATAAGAACAGTCCAAAGGCCAGATAGGGTAGTAGCAAGGCGGGGATTGAAGCAAATAGGTAAAGTTATATCAGCCGAAAGGGGAACACTTGTAACTCTAACTGTGGCAGTTTCTGCAAGTGGAAACTCAGTTCCTCTATTTTTTATATTTCCCCGCGTTAACTATCGTGACCATTTTGTCAGAGATGCTCCTGTAGGAAGTATCGGAGATGCAAATCCTTCAGGTTGGATGAAGGAGGAACATTTTGTGAAATTTATTAAACATTTCATCACTCGGCAATAGATAATTGGATGGTAAATAATCCAGGAAAAACGGTTACTATATATGATATTCCTGGTATTGTTAAAACAGCTCTTCCTTTGGCTGCTACTTCCGGTTATATAATTGCCGGCTTCAAAAAAATAGGCATCAGTCCGTTAAATGAGAACATTTTTTCGGACAGTGACTTTTTACCTTCATATGCGACGGATAGGCAAGAACCAATTGAAAATAATATTGCGATTCCTTAAAATTTTTCGACTGTAAACGAAAATGAACCTGCAAACACCAATGAAGATAGATCTACCATTAATAAACAGCCAACTATAATTGTGCCAGTAACTCCAGAAAAGACTGCTTCTAAGTTTGTTGCTCCTGCGGAAGTGAGGCCTTTTCCTAAAGCGGCAGAAAAAGGAGACCAACTGCAATCTTAACGGATACTCCAATAAAAGAAGCTCTGGAGCAAGAAAAAAAAGGCGCCAAACAAAAGTGCAAGAAAAGTAAAAAGATGGCTGATGAGAAAAATACACCGAATAAGGGTCGAAGATTTCTATTTCATGATAACCTAGTCCCATCTACATCCGGAACTCAGAAAAATGTTTCTTCATCCTCAGCGTCGGAAGATGAAGCTGAATGCTTAGTATGTGAGGAACCTTATGGTAGTAGCGACTTTGGGGATAATTGGGTGCAATGCACGCGTTGCAGAAGATGAGCCCATGAGAAATGCATAAAAAATCTAACAATACCTTTCTTGTATGTAGCAGGAAAAAGTTTTAATAAAATGTAGAGAAAAGGTAAGTCAACTCTGCATGGTGACATAAAAGGCTTTACTAGAATATGGTCACATTAAATAGAAGAATATAGATATTAATATATGAATCCTTATGACATTTACTCCCCTACGACTTGTACAAACTTGCCTTGTTGAAAACGGCAATACATAAAAAAAATTATATATAAAAAGTTAGTCAACTAGCCCNTCAGATCTAACATTTGGGGTGAGTAATTTATTTACTTATCCCAGTCTCTTTTATATTCTTTAGGGTATTATAGTTTCTCTTTTATATTTGTACACCTTTCTGTGATGTTTTATCCAAAATAAATTCTCAACGATGAAGAAATGAAGGATTCCTTGCTCCGTTTTTTGAAATACTTTAGGGGTTATTTGGGGTGAGTTATTTATTTGCTTATCCCAGTTTCTTTAATATTCCTTAGGGTATTGTAGATTTTTTTATATTTGTACATTTTTTTGTTATGTTTTATTCAAAATAAATTCTCAGTGATGAAGAAATGAAAAATTTCCTGCTCCATTTTTGAAAAAAGTACCTTCTTATAACTTTTGTGGTTATAAGGGATGAGTAATTTATTTACTTATCCCAGTCTCTTTATTATTCTTTAGAGTAACTAACAAACTTAGTCTCGCATTTTTTACTTTTTGGCAATCGAGCGACTATTCTATACAGCAAACTTTCACCCGCTGGGAGATGATGCTTGTGAAAATTTGCAATATTTAATAAGAGTTTTGGGTTATTTTGTTATATACCTTATCGACTTAATTTTTGAAACGTTATGTATTCGTATTTTCGGGCAACTTGCAATGGCAAAAACTTGTTCTAAAAGAACATATCAATGTAAAGAAATTCATTATGTACTTTACAAATTTCATTGCATTGTTCTGCCTTTAATTTTCCGGCTTGTTGTATTAGGTAGCTTTCTACATTGAGTTCGGTCGATGTTACAGCGAGTATTTTAATATTTACGGTACGGAAAGTTGTGAATATCGCGGGAGCTCCTTTAACTTTAATGAGTCGAGAAAGTTTTTGCGCGACACTAATTCCCAATCTGCCGTCAGTAGACGTTCAAAGGAACTGTTAAAACAATGAATTAAGAATTCTGAAGCCGGTTTCACCCCATTAATAGTTAACTTCTTCTTTATAGAAAGCCAACCCTCGTTGCCTTTGACCGGCGCTGCGTTTCGTGCTCTTCACCGTAAACGGAATACCAAATTTACTTTAAATTAATTTCCACTTCAGTTTTTACTTTTCTGAAAGAAAAGGAGCCGTTGACCTACTTAATTGGCCCTTAAAATGTTTGGTTGGAAAGATTGAATTTCCATTTCAGATGGCCGTTGGGCTTGAACAATGGTTTAATTTGGATGTGAATGTCCGTGTTATAAATGACCTCATTAATTTTATAAAAAAATATTTACGTTTTCAATAAAAAATGTATTGTATCTTAAACTAGTTAGTTACGTATGTGATAACTAGCCTGCAACATATTTTATCATCTAATTAATTGCATCCATTAATTGAGCCTTCTAGGCATCTAATCAATGATTGATAGTTATCAAAATTAATAGAAAATTCACGGAAAGGATATTATATGCATAATACGCTGTCGTTATTATCGTCCGTCACACAAGTATTGTAGATAGTGTCTAAAGCCCCTGTTACACGACGCGTGGATTGCCGGTTCACGTTCCAGGTGCGGCCTGGTGTAAGAAGGCGTGTCTTAGCGCGTTCGTTGGCTCCTTTTCACGCCGGTGCAGCGATAGGTGTGTGAAATGCTGTGTAACCGGATCGGCGCGGCCTGGAGCGTGAAGGGAACATTCTGACGCGTTCTGTCTCAAGTAACGTGTGGTAAATGATATAAACAAATTCTTCTCAAGTATTTGTCATGCATTTTCAAGAAATTATCTGAAGATGTCGAACCGAGGAGAAGCACCGTTATTTTCATAGCAGCTTATGTTACACTAAGTGGCAGTTACGTTTTGCAGAAAAAGAAGTGCAAGGAACGGTGGTAATTCATTAACGAGAAAACGTGTTTAAATATTTCAACAGTTTTTAATAAATACTCTATCATAGTAACAAATTCATCTTCAGAAAGCTATACAGTTTTGTAGGGTACTCATTAAACATCTTTTAAAAATTTATACGCGTTTGTTTTCACTTTATTACAATACAATTGTGTTTTAAAGTTGATGCAGTGTGATGTTACTTTAAGGAACAATAGGAACGAATTGAATATACTATTCTAATCTCCATGTAAAAATATTGTTATATTATTGTAGGTATATTATACATTATATTATTTGAACTTTCTACATGCAAAACATAATTTTACAATACCTTTTGTTTATGCAAACTGAGTAAGTTATTAGATCTTGTGGTAAATATTCTCTGACCAAATTTGATGACCATAGGTACGTTTCTTTTGCCATTTACTACACCCGTGAAATAAATAACACGTCAGGACGTTCCTTAATACTCTAGGTCGCGCCGGTCTTATTACATGCGGTGTAAGAGAGCCTTAAGAGTATTCAAAAACCATAAAATCTCAGGTAAATATTGGAGAACCTCGCGATTGTAAGCTAAATAGATGCACGCGCTTTAAATTTATAAGGCGTAGATTTAAAATTAATTTGGGTTGGAAGGTTTAATGACTCGAATTATAGCAGTAAAGTTACTTAATTATATATGAATTAACACAGATGGAATTGATGTTTGAATATAACTATCATAAGTATGGCTATATTGTAAGTGCTCTTATTAGTTAGCACATATACATTTTTATATCTAAAGCTTATGAATACACCAAAAGTATGAAGGATGTGATAACTGCCGCTATTGGTTATTATATCATTTTTTAATATATCAGATCTAACTAATCAATTTAACTTGATAGTTCCATGCAGACAGCTTCGTGACAACAAGACTACCTTTCAGACAAAAATTGTGTCTGTTCAGCCCTACCACAGATCAATTTTATCCATTTGTGCACTAAATTTAGTGAATTAAAAATAGATTTTGACGAAAGGATAAAAATAGCACTGTATTAGAATACAAAGAATTATTACGTAAAAAATTGTCTATAGAATAGTCTGAGTACTGCTCTAATATGTTGGGTACATTCCTTGTTATTGTTTAGTGCTAATAATTTATCTATATTTTTTACAATTATTTTAATTCAAAAACTTTCCGTTTAGTTAGATTTAGTATTGTTAATTACTTTCATTACATTTCAAATTTCTTTGTTCCTTTGTTAAATTCAACTTTATAATATAAATATACATACAATGTAGAAATCCTCCCAAAGTGAGTTAGTTTTTAATATGAAATATTTTCTCAATTTTTACCCACTACACACTTCCTCAAATTAATGAGGAAAAATTTGTTGCTGTTGTCACACATCCGCCGGGAATCGAACCCGGGCTCTTTGGCTTTACGCGCCAATGCTTTGACCACTAAGCTACGAGAGATGACAACAGCAACAACGACAAACCGTACTATTAGTCACAGATGTAGATGACTAATGTAACTATGTACTGAATATAAATATATATACAATGTAGAAATCTTCCCGAAGTGAATTAGTTTTTAATATGAAATATTCTCAATTTTTACCCACTACACACTTCCTCAAATTAATGAGGAAAAATTTGTNTGTATTTTAGCGTATTTTCAGCATAATATTTTGTTTTGTAAATCTATTATTATTATACGTTTTATTTATATTGTTTAAATAAAAAATACATATCTTCTGATTTTTCTCTTCTTTTAGAACTCATGATGCAACATCAAACAATCGGTTATTTTAGTAACTTTTGGACTACCACATCTTATTTGATTTAATTTTACTATCTATTTCTTATCTTACCATCACAAATCTCTAGAACTTATAGTTTCTACTTTCCCTTATTCCGATTGTAACTAAAAATGACCATAATATTTAATAATACAATTTGTCCCATCATTTTTCTGATACTTGCAACTATCCTACATTTACAAATATTCATACTACAAAGATGCCTAACATTGTATTTCTCTATTATTCCGATATTAATTTTTGATGAATCCTTACCACCTGCAGATCTACCTATGGTTACCACCCTTTCTTATTTTAACTCTGTTTCAGCGGGTATCTCCACGAGTAGGTTCTAAAAAAATATTTTGTCTTGCTTTCATTTTTTTTATTTGAAATTCTTTTACATTACACGATCACACAACTAATTAGTATTCTAGCAACTAATTTCGGCAAATTTCAATTACTTTTGTTCTAACATAATAAAACGGCAGAACAATTACTGCTATAAATAGGAATGATCGGCGTATTCTAATTGAAATTAAACTTTGTTCTTTACTTTTCAACTATCGAGCTAGCTAACGAAGTTTGAAGTTTTGCAATTAATGAATTTTATTCGATTTCGTACTCTCTTGGGTTCTTTCAATTTTTCCGCTATAATTAGATGTTAAAGACAATTATATTTAAAATCCCTTAAGTGTTTAATGTTTGTAGAAAGTCGGAAAATTGTTCCTCTAATTCCCGAAGTTCTTCGTCTTTATGAGGTCGTTTCGTAAACCTTATTTATTCGAGTCTTCTCAACAACAAAACCAAATGTTGGCGTTCATTTAAGTGAGCATTTGTTTCTTAAAGAATGGTTGCCACTGAAACAGCAACTGCAGAGCTTAAAAGTTCTCGAGGAGCCACTAAGAAGTGGCGCTGTCAGAGCTTAAAACCACTGGCACAACCGTCTCCAACTTTTAATTACTAATTTTCTTTGCCTCGTTTCTTTCTTGACAGACGGTTTTGCAAGATTAAAATATGGCTTTTCTAGTGAACTTAACTCTCGAACAAAATATACCCACCTAATTCACAAATATTTGATAAACGCTTACAGAATTAATTACTAATGCAAAAAGTATTTAGAGGGAATCGAATAATTTCTGCTTTACTACTACCATTATAATATATATGACGACAGGCCTCCAGATATAACTTTTTAATATGTATATCATGTATTCAAAAGAAAATACGGAATTAAACAAATCGAGACTCACTCCTATTTACCATATACAATAAAAAACTCAATAAAACACTGATCTATGTTTTCACTATTTTTAATTATTAAACAACCCGACAATTTTTTCGACCATTATCAAGAGTAATGAAATAACAATACTCCATTTTCCGTCAAAACAGTTGTTTAATAATTAAAAATAATGAAAACGTAGACCAGTGTTTTATTGAGGTTTTTATTGTTAGTACTACAGAGGTGGCACATAAGCCACATAAATCGGCGACACCGATAGTATCTGGTTTTAACCTACCAATCAGTAGATATATTTAACGTAATTTAATGTCAGTGGTGTAATATTAATACATATGAAAAACTTTAAAATCATCTTCTAACACCTACCAAGCGGTTAATCAATCAACAAGCAATCATTTAGTTGGAGAAAATAATATTAATTATGAGTCAGTCAGAAATAGAATTGAGTTAATTCTAATACAAAAGTAAGACAGATAAATATTTATAAATCATTCTTAAATTATCGTTTTAATTATTTTAAATTATTGATGGTAATTATTGTATTAAAGATAAGTTCTGAATGTGCAACGCATTATTTAGTTTAATAACTGTGACATCTGTGTTCCATTAATTATTTTCTGAGGTATACAAATGGTGTTTTAACGTCTGAATCTTGGAGGTATTTGTATGCACATCTGATTAATAGTATGTACAGGGTAGTTTTGAAATATATAGTGGGCAAAGCAGCGTAATTAGAGGACAAAAGAAACTGTAAGAAACCGGATGAAATTGTAATCTGGAGCCGGTCCGGGGCGTGAATTGACAACGTACAGAGAAATTGCGGTAACAACTAAACAGCTACATCGATAGAAAATGTAAACAGTTGTGTTGTGTAGAGTAAATATCAATAGCTACTACTAATATCCATTATAAAATTTAGCCCATTGCGATTAAATAACTATTTTACTGATAGTATGTAGTATTAAGAACACAAAAAAAGAAAAAACGAACGCTAAATAAACATTAATAAGTAAATTAATATTCAAACCACCGTTTAGGTACTGTCAGGTTGCGTTATCTATTTTTGTAGGCGGTTCACCAACAGCCCTATCCCCCATTAGAAAAATTGTTTACACGCACATACACACACACACACACACATATTTACGTATACTTACTATAAAAAATAGTTTTGATACCGGCATTTGGTGCACTTCAATTGCAGCGATCATACGCGGTCGTGCAAATCACTAGCATTCTACATTGGCGTTTGATACACATTCTGTTTTAAAAAACTCTATACAAAGAAGTTAATCGGATTTACATCAAGACTACGTGTCTGCAAAGGAACAGAACCTGTATATCTGGGAAAGTGTTCGTTTAGAAGCTCACGCATTGGTCGGTGAATAATACTATTCTGCACTGACCTATGACAATGTCACGCGACGAATGACTTCGACTAACTACATACATATAAGCCTACAACGTTAAAAGAACAAAGAACTACTCTGTGGCGACTGTAAGACAAACATCGTCAATCACACAATAACAAGCACCCGGTGAAAATTTGATATAAAAGATGTAAATATTTTAGATGGATTTAGGAAATAATAAGGTACCTTTTACGTTTTAATACAATAACTTATCGTTAGTCATGAAGTAGTTTTTGTAAACATTATTTTTTTTTTTTTTAATATGCATTTTTTGGTAATATTTTCCGTTTTACAAGTAATAAATAACTCCATCGATTGTTAAAAATCCTCTGTTTTATATGTTTTTGTTAACTTCTAAATAATTGTCTTGTGTCACATTGTCTTCATTTTTGATTTTGTTATCAATGAAATAGCAATTCGATCAAAATCGAATTCACGTTTAAGATTTCAACAGCCCACATATATTTTCTTTGCAAATACTTTGTCTTATAAAGTTTCAGCAGTAAACTCTTTGAAACCTATCTGAGCAAAAAGGAGTTCCAATAAGTTCGGTATAAAAGCAGAATTCATTACTTACAAAGGATATCATATTGCGGCATCCACCGTTGAATCATGATATTATCAGGTTTTCCAGGCATGTCACTTTCCCATTTCCACAGAACTCGTTGAGGAAGACGTTTGAAAACTCGTAAAAACATATTTCGTTTCTCTTCGGGAAACGTGTGCCCTTTGATCATCGAACCCATACTGAAATATATTACCCCGTGAGTCGATTCGTTGATCCATTTCTCGATATTCTGAAATAAGAAGAGCGTGTAAATAAAATAAGAAAATAATTATGAATAACGCATCAGTAAAGCAGTTTCTTTAATTATATAAAATTCGAACTGCTGGACCCTGATCAAAAAGAATCCTAATTGTTCATTTCGACCACATTCCGTTAGTGCGAATCCTAATTCTATTACAGGTTCCAGCTTTTAAAAGGGTTCTTAAAGAAGGTTTTACCTTCTTAGCACCGTCGTGAAACATTTAAGATAAAATAATGAATGAAATTGGCGACTACTTTTTATCAACTCATTGTTTCTGGCTTTTAGAACTAAAAATCGATAAATCGATTAACTGTGAACACCACAATTATGTTGATACGTAATATTTCAATATAAAATAGTAACTTTTTTTCTTAGTATGTACTGGGTTATATACCTCTTTTCTGATAAATAATACAATAACCAGGGTGAAACCAATCATATTGTGACATTAACAATATTATTTAACCTTTCGTCAAACTCTAAATGTGTAGTACATACAAAGTAGAGTTGAAATATATCCATGCAATTAATTGGAATCTGTTAATACGGTTAATAACATTTTGTATGTTGTTCCTAATATTCGAGAAACAATAGCTTAACAAATAGACTATCGTACAAAAAGATATTTGGTGAGATAGTACATATAATGAGAAATATAACCTCATTTTAAGAAATATTCCTCTTTCTAGGCCCGACAAACGTATGCGTGCATAAAGTCGCTGTGATATAAACAGTATATGACATTGATGTGTATCACGTGTATAGGGTTTGAAACGTTTGGTCTTCACAAAAAAAACAAAATGGAGGCTGACGATTTCAATAGGGATTGTATGCTGCTCAGAAGCGACAGTCGCTATCACGTTGCAGTTTTACGCCTACCATCGCCTGTCGAACGCGCGTTCGTCTGAACGTGGCCTTATTACTGCATTAATAATATAATTAGTCAGATCAATTTCTTCATTTTGAAATTCGTAGAAGGGCTTCAACTTTTGTAATTCTTGTGCTTGCTGCCCTGATCTCCTGCTATTATGTTCTCAACAGACCCAAGGCATGTGCGAGCTCTGCAATGTTGGCACTTCATGTGGAATTTTAAAGAAACAATTATACTATCTGAAAGGCCAGAAAATGATCAGAAAAAATCAATTAGCTCCACTAATTGGTCAGCGATAGATAATTTTTTATTAAAATTTCATTAACTTACGATTAGATTATGGAACAAAATAGTTTCTTCTAATAGAAAGTATTGCGCAAGCATCTGCTTTGCAGTGCAGTTTATCATATATTTATGTTCATTTAATTCTTTTAAGACAACTGTTTGTAATTACAGTAGAATATAAAACGAATTTTCATAATACAGTAGCATTGGTTTATCGTTATTTACAACTGTGTTCACTGCAACCTGACAATAGCATGCGTTATAAATTATAATAATTGAATGTTTTTTACATCACGAGATAAGTAGAAATAACTTTATAATGGACGGGTCATATAATTAGAACATCTTCCATTTACATAAAGTACTGGAATCTAACTTGTGTTGAACAGAAATCACTATTTAATATCTTTATGTTGTAATATACACGAACTTTTATACTGTTTGTGAGTGTGATTTCTTATACAATATTTTAAATAAAGAACATAAGTAAATTTTAGTAAAGTAATTTTTTTTATTGTCCAAAGGTTGACTGTCGAAGGGCGTACAAAGACCGGCTGCGAATCGTCAGATGGATACACCTATACGTATTTACATGGATATACATCAGGAATTTGCTTAAAGCAAACATTATAAGTATACTTCATTTACTTTCTCTAGCGATGTGCCCCTTCCAATGTTTTGGATGCGCGCGGGAAAAATCGTAGGTAGAGAGAAAAAAGCTTATTATACTCTCGACTCTTGTTCGTTAAACATACTTTTTCATACAGTACCTGCCAAAAGTTTTGTTCAATCATGAATAGTAGTGCGAGTAGAAAACAAGCGTTAAAGCCTTTAATATGTCTTCAAATATAAATAAACATCTCGTAGATATTTGCAGTAGTAAATGGTACCAATAACAGCACATTTGAGCAATACAAGTGTAGTGGACAAAATGGTCAATTTTTCCGAGCAGTACTGTACGGATTATACGCTCCTCGCCGGTTAAGAGTTTGGCCGATAGTTGTCTCCTTCCTTTTCTGGCCTAGTGCTGTTCTTTTCTACTTTGCGTCGGTCAAACTGAAGGTCACATCGCTACAGAAAGTAAACGAGGTATAATTATATGTTGTATAATGCGCTGTATGTAATAAGTACCTGCGTGTCGTTTTGAATCTCACAGTCACAATTTTAGAAAACCCTCCTAGATATCAAATGCATATCAGAGGGGAGATAAAAAATAGTCATTATCCATAGAAACGTCCATAGCTACTAATATGACTCGATAACTAGATATGGTTAATATTGTTATGAATTCATTTTGAAAATTGTTTCAAATTTTTTTTTACGATCCACGACGTAATGAAAATGAGGAGGTAAAGTAACTATTAAATAACAGAGTTTTGATATACCTCAAGAGTGACCTCAGTTAGTGCCATCTAAACAAAGCAGGAGTTTCAAAATTTGATGGACCATGTTTTCGGTGGTGACAAAATTCCGGCCGTTGATTTTTACATCTTAAAAACATTGACCGTCACTGTTTATAGTTTAACTGGAGCTTTGACCAGTGGCGTAGAGCGAATTTGTGCTTTCTAATTACTTCAAGTCATACCCTAAGTAAAAAATTACTTAAAGTTTCACAAAGGCCATATTACTTGCTGACGCTTATCACTAATTTCGTATGTAATTTCCTGAGTTTAATTTGTTGAAGGGAAGTATGAAGTTAAAAATATGAAAATGTTCTTTTATTTATGCAAATACGAACAAATAATTGTTAGTTTTAGTTTTATTTTTTTTTATTCGACGATGGGAACGTGCCTATCACGTTGAGGTTAGCTACGCCGGGATTCGTTTCAGCAAGTAGATATCCATATATTTAAATGGACCTTGTTGGAGCATACGTAATCCTAAAATTTAGCATCGTACTACAGATGGCGTTTACCGCGCCATTTATGGTATTTTTTAAAAGCGTATTTATTATTTGTTTCTCTACTGAAAGAAGTATCTCGTTATTGTTCATAATTAAGTCACTTGACATGTTAAACTACAAAAATTCGGAGATTTACTACAAATAGGAAAAAGCTCTGACTTTTGGCGATTAAGGCATCATCAAAGAGTATAGTATGTCTACTGAATAATTTACGTATTTGTTACGTAAATATTTGTTATTTAGAACCTCTAATGATGTTTCATAGATGAGATACATGGACAATGTCTCAAATTGCCTCGGTATTTCAGCGTTAACTTTTAACTATGGTTCTATATATAATCTAAATCTAAAGAGTCTGCTTTCTATACAATGTTGTGATATCTCTGTACCTTCATTACATTGTCTGTAGTTTAGTAAAGCGTTCTTTTAAGAAACGGCAAGTCTGTCCGACATAAAGAGGATTATACACCCAACTTATCTAAAATATCTGTTTCTTGTTTATTATTATAAAGCATTGACATTAAATTATCGTTAGTGACCCAAATAAAATTTAAACGAAGCTTTTTGAGACGATTACAAATATTTTTACTTAAACTGGGAATATTGTTAATTAAATGATATCTTTTGTTTTGTTTGGAGACGGAAGTACATCACGCTACTCATAGTCATACGGTCTCAGCTTATCGTTAGTCTTTGGACTGTTAATCGTAACAAGTAAAATGATTCTCCATCAAGACGAAGATTTGATAAATTACCAAATATACAAAGGAATGCAATAATATCTAACCTTAAAGTGTACAGGATAAATTTTCTAATAACATTCGAAATAGTAGTTTATGCTTTTGTTTTGGTGATTTCAAATGTGCTATTAGGATTTTCACTATTTTACTATTTTTTTAGTACTTTTCAAAATTTGAAATTTTATTTTTTTTGATTTCGACAATATATAATTATTATATATTCATATAAATAATAAACGAGTGAATTGTAAAAAAATTAAATAGATGTTAAATTATACTTCTTACGTGGAAACTTTTCTCAATAAACAATAAAAACCATACAGCACGGCCCTACAGCCCGAATCTTCATTCTACTATAGATTCCGGCCGTGAAAGCCTTTGTTCTTATATTTGTTCTTATACATGTATCTAATAGTTTACATAAATTATTTTAACTGGAGTGGTTTATGGTGTGGCGGATTAAATTAAAATAATAGTATTTTTTGTATTATATTTCTTTGTGTCTCTGTACTTGTGTAAATATTTCGAACAGTCTATTCAAATTCTTTTGTATTCAATTCTATCAGTTATCATAAGGTCGTCAGTCCTAAGACTGGTTGGACACGTACCTCCACTCTTTCCTGTTTTGAGTTAAACTTCGCATTTCCCTAAAACTAGAACAACCCACATCCTTAACTATTTGTGAACACTATTCTAACCTAGGTCTACCTCTACCCCTCCTAACTCCTTTTTCTGCCTCTAATATGTATCTGACTAGACCTTCATGCCTGAGAAGGTGTTCTACCAACCTATCTCGCCTATTTTTTATTGACTTTCATAGAGTCCTCTGTTCTCCCATTGCTTCTAATACCTCCTCATTTCTAACTTTTTCTCCCCACGTTATCCTACTCTAAAGTCCCCACTCCAGAAGTCTCCAGCTTCGGGCCAAAGGACTTCACTAATACCTACTATATCTAATTCTAATCTATCCATCTCTACTTTAAATTGTCTAATTTTCCTACTTGCCTCATTGTCCTAACATTCCACGTTCCATCTCGTGAAATATTGCACCTATCCCTATTGCACTTATTGATGACATTCCCCGAGGTAGTGCCCGCCTGGACATCCGAATGGGGGACTAGTTTACGCCATCATTTAATTCTTAACTTTTATTACTTGTACTTTCATTTAATTCTTATTAACATTTCAG